CCATTCAGTGCCACCCACCCACACACCCGTGTGGGGGGGGGGGGTGTGTGTGTGTGTGTGTGTGTATATGTATAAAAACTATTTAATGATTTGGGGGTGGGTATTTTTCCTTCATATCAATCTTCCACATGATGATGCCACCTGATTGCGTGCACATCTTAATCTACAGTGAGGTTAACAGTGTCAGCAATTCACACGCAGCTTTATAAAATGAATCCTGGGGATTTGATGAGACCAGACACAGAAAGAGCTATGGAGCTTGGAATTGAAATGGATGAACCTCTGCATCTCAGCAAGTCATATGTCTCTGTAGAAACACCATTGGATTGTAATACTAACTGCCTCATGAAAGCATGTCATATTATATACATTTGCTTAGAAAGGCTGTTTTAACTCTGCAGACCCAGTTTATGAAGCATCATGTTTTGTTTTGTTTTGTTTTTTTAACAGTGTGAAAATCCAAACAAAAAAAGGGGAAAGATCCCCTTTGATTTTCCTATATTAACCAGGTTTATAAGAGGAAGCTTTGGATTTAATTCTTGGTTCTTGGTGACTTTATTCCTGATCATGACTGCAGAAAGCATAACAGCAAAGATGGGACTCAATGACTTTGACAGTATGATAATGAAGAATATATCTCTCTCTATATATATAAACTGTTGAAAGAAGAAAAAAAAAAACAAAAGAAAGAGACAGGTTCCAGTTCAGATAACGATCTGATATTTTTTTTTTAAAAAGTAAATTAGAATTTATATCATATATAACATTCAAGGTAAAGTATGACTATTTGTATTTATGCAACACTTCTGCGGTTATATTGCATTTGATAAATCCTGTTATACAAAGAATAATATAGTAAATTTTAAAATAAAAAAAAATCATGGTCTGGGAAATGTTGAAATACTGCCCTCTTTTCAACATTTCTGACATCATCCCTTACAAGTCTAGATAGTGGAGTAGTCTACAGTCATAGCCCAAAGCACTGCAATATCCTTACTTTTTATGGTAGCGTTCTGGGCTATTACTGTAGAATACCAAACTACTTTTTAATCAAATAAAGCATACTTCAGCACAGTATTTCAGTGCTTTTCTCAGCCACCAGCCTGCCTCCAACTGACCTTTGAAAAGCTTGTTCCAAGTGCTCTGCTACCTTTTAGCTTCCATGCAGTAGAAGTTGAAAGGAAGCAACAAGGCACACTCAGCTTAAATGCACATATCTGGATACAAATAGACAAGAGGTATAGCTTAAAAATCCATTGTGCACGCAAAAATGCTGAAACAGGATGGGTTCCTTTAAGAGAGTGGCACAGAGGCCTGTCATGCTGCTTGTGGCTCTTCACTTCTCTGTTTGGAGCTGGAGCACTGCCTACTCCCCTCAGACAAATCCTGTGTTAATGTTACACTCTTACAGTATGATGGGACAGACTTTACTTGTCAGGAATGTTCCTCACTGTTTCACCTGGCCTTGAATACCAAGCAAATTTTCCATCTCGTTTCTTTGGTATTGTGCAAATGAACTATACAAATGTGTTAAATTTAGTTTTTTAAGCAATAACTCACCATTATCTCAGATGATACGGATTGTCCTTTTTTGTGGGCTAATTCAAACAAAGTAAAAAATGTGGGGACAGCTTTTGAGTCCAGCTAGTGGATTAAAAGACATGTTTCTTTTGATATCAACAGTGTCACCTTGGATTGCTGGTTGCTATAATATTTATTTGCATTGTGATAGTGTCCTGAGGCCCCCATTCATGGATCTGGGCTCTGTTGAATTAGATACAGTACACACCAATAAGAAAGGGATTTGGCTCTGCCCTGAAGAGTTCATGGTCTAAGATTATGCCATGACATACAAGTGGATTCAAGGAACAGCCAGATGTAACACAATGTAATAATGCAAGAATTTTTGTTCTAATCTCAGTTACTCCATATGCTTCATTAGTTTCTATAATCAGCATAACTGAGATCAGAATCTAGAGCATGATATTGAAAGGTAAGACACATGCAATACTATCTTCCATTGTTGCTTAAAAGTGACCTGTAAATTGGTTTGATAAAGTTCCTTCAGTTGCTTCATACCTGTGAGATTTCCCCCATAGTCAATCCCATATAGATAGTCAGTATATAATTAGCTTAAATATGTCTTCCCCCACCCCACACTAGGTCTCATTATATTGAGTTGTGTTTGTGTTGCCAATTTCCAGTCCGGTTTGCCAACTGAGCATTCATTATTTGATGTGATACCAACCATGGAAGACCTGTGGTGCATAGGGTCAGTTAAGTGATTGCATTTTATAATATTATTGCACAAATTCACAATATATTAAACATATTCCAATTACCCTGTATAATATAGTAACATTTGTACTCACTGCTATCCACAGTCTTGTGGGTTAACAGGCTGTGAAATCTGAGTCCTTGTGAAATTTCACATCTCCTCTATGTTTATTTCTGCTTGGCTAATGTGTGTCTAGCCACCCTGACGTTTACCTTGCTGTGCACATTGCATTGCAGTCAATCTACCTAGATGGCCAAAATGGGTAATTTATGAAATGTGTATGGAGAGTCGTGATTTATTCAGCCATTCTTTTTTCTGTAGAATTGCAGAATTAAGAAGAATGCATCAAAATATGCATAAGTGAAAGTTGCCTATTAGTCTATAGGCAACTATGTAGGAGTATTATGCCGTATTAAATGTGATCTGCAGAGGAAAAAGCAATAGGGTTTGTACCCTTGTTTGTTTTCTTTGATGTATAGGGCAGCCTGAAATGGATTCCTTTGGTTGGTTGGTTGGTTGCTTGTTGCTTATTTGAAGGGTTTGCCCTCTTCATTGTTTGCACCACAGTTAAATTGTCAAGAGAGTTCAATAGAGCTGTTAAAAATTCCCCTTTGGAAATCCAGATCTTGCCTACTCTTATTTGTCTCTTGGAAAATTCTTTAGATGGCTGGAGAACTAGACAGAAGTTTTGCCATGGAAGGGACCCCAGGCTGGAAGGAGATACTTTTTTAAGATGGTTTAAAAATCTAGGTTTTTTGTGTTGAAAAAGTATTTTAACAAAAACACATGAAAAAAGCTCTTTGTTAAAGATTCAGCACCCAAGTGCCTTCAGTTAAAAGTGAAGAGCTCATGTATCGCAGTTCTGAGATCTCCAGAGTTCTCTTGCAAAACCCAGAGGCTAGGGACAGAAGTTACACATAAACCAGTTTAAGTGATAAGAAACTGGTTTCAACCTGTAACAGAACAGAAG